TGATGTATTTTATATATCATTTATTTGATTAGTTATCATAACCACTAATAGTACATATGTAGGTTCTATAGAGAAATAACGAATGGTTTACAAATTAATAATATTAGTATAATTTATAGTTTTTTTTACTTTTGTATAATCACTAACCTTATACTAATAAATTTGTAAATATACTGTGATTATTAAAAAAAAAAAATATTATCATTTATTATTATATTCCTTTTTTTCTTTTTTTTTATCAAATTAAAAAAACTGAAAGAAAAATTCTAATAAAAAGAAAAAAAAATCTAAAGAAATAGAATACTTTAAAAAAAAAGAAAATATAAAAAAAGTTCTAATAAAAAGAAAATTTAATAAGAAAAACTTTTAAAAAAAAAATTTAAAAAGAAAGAAATCTAAAAAAAAAAAAAATATATAAAAGACTAAAAAGAAAAAAAATATAAAAAGAAAAAATCTAAAAAACTAAAAAAAAAAGTTTGTAAAGTTTATTTTTTTAGATATTGTTTAGATTTCTTTATGATTTATTTAGGTTTATGGGTAACATTATTTGACGACCCGTCACCATGGCGATACTCAAAATTTTTTTTAGTTGTACTACGTAATTTTTATACTTTAATTTTTATGACATTTATAATAATTTGTAACCGTAATTTGAATAGCAATTATAGGTATTCATGAACGAAATTTGACTCATTTTTTATTGGATTTATTCATATACTGTACTACTGTACTTCGTTAGCTTTAATAGTAATAATAACAGTAAATCACATGTGATTAGAAGCATATTAACGCATTTGAATAAAGCTTACCTTTCAAACACTTCATTCTCTTTATTAGCATTATCCAATTTTTCCTTACAAGTTTTGCTATTATGTCCCTTTTGTTTACACAATTTACATGTGTATTGAGTTTTAGTATTAGATAACTCTAAAGTATTTTTCATTCTCTTGTTTGATTTAGGACGATCTTTTGGCCTTCTTTCAACAGGATTTCGAATATTCATGATATTATCACTTTCGCCGTTGTTATTACTGTTACTAACACCACCATTACTATTATCAACAACAATTCTTGGCTGTAATTTTTTTTGAATTGACAGAAAAACCTCACAAAGTTCTCGGTAAGTATCCTCATTGTTGTTTTCAATTACATCAACCATTACTTTTCTTCCTAAACCCCAAAGTTCTCCAAACTTACGTTTTTTTGATATAGATTTAGTTATTTCAGTATTTATTGCCGAAGCTCCAACTTGAATAGCAGATCCATTTGAATTCAAAAATTGTGTTGGCAGAGAATGCGTCTTTAATGCCGACATTTTCATTGAAGAAATGGCAACAAATTCTTTATTTGATATATCAGTCCCTTGAAGTATATCTTTATACCAACGCTGGTTTACCAAACCAATGTGAAATCTAGCAGTAGACGTAAGAGTCATTACACGGTAAAAATGGCGACATGGATAACCATGAGTCTTGTTGATCATACACGTGCAGAGAAAGGTACCATTATTCAAAAGACATACAAAGTGGGATGTCTTTTGGCTTGTTAAATATACAACCTCCCATACTTCAAGAATCAATGAGGTATCTTCTAAAAATAAACTTATTTGTACTTGTGGGCAATCAAATAGGTTATCAATACATTGATTTGACTCGTCAAGTATCTAAGTAGAAGTTAATAAATTATTTTTTAAAAATTATTGCCGTTAGAAAGCAAATTAAGCTAAAATTAATAGCGTAAGTCTTACCATTTCCTTAGAATGCAAAATTTCAAGCTCAATTTCCACAGCATGATAATAAAGACTTAGTTCCATTTGTTCCTCCTGCTTCTTCATAATATTTGGCATTACAAATTCATTCAGCTGCTACGCTACTGGTCCAAAAATAGATGTTGATACATTTTGAGGTCTGATTTGAGGTATAGTTTGATGCCAATTTATGAATTCGCAATAGTCAACTTCTTCTTGATATCTCTCTTCTAATGCATCAAATAATTCACATAATGAAAGGTTTGAATTTCCAAAAAACCGTTTTAATACTGAATTTTCACCTTCATTGCGAGAAGTTGTTTGTGCAACAGCAGTAAAATATTTGCTAGTAAAAGCTCGTGCCCATGATTGAAAATTACATCCTAAAGACCTTATCAAATAATATTTAGCTTGTGGGTAATTCTGTAGTAATATCTCCAACCTTTTATTGAATGAACAAATACATAAATTAATTACAATATACTTTCTATTAAAATCAATAAACAAATGAACAATTAAATTTATTTAATTTCAAAGCACAATAAACAAAATTCTACAATAGATGATATACTGTAAAACAATGGAAGAATTTGAATAGACTATGATAAAAAAATAATGGAGTCTAATGAAACAATGATAGAGTCTAGTGATTACAACAAAAAAATTAATGATGGAGTCTAATTAAAAAATGACAAAGTCTAATGATTACAATGAAAAGGTTAATGGAATTACAATAAAAAAACAATGGTAGGAATGGCAAAATTGTAAGTACAATAGAAAATTTGTAAAACAATTTAACACAATAAGTATACCTTTCGTTAAACTGTTTTTCTGTTAAACTGTTTCTTGTCATGTAAAAGTCCTTCATAAAATTATCAAAATTAGATCCAAGCTTCCCCTTTAATTGCTTTGGCAAGTTTTGGCCTATATGCCAAATACAATGCATATGAAAAGTATCAGAAAATAGTGTTGCAACAGCACCACTAACTGCTGGATCACTATCTGTAACAAAAACTTTCGGCGATATACCGGTAGCCTCTTTTACACATTGAAAAACCCATTCATATGAGAATTGTGTCTCATCATCAACAATTGCCTGAGCTACAATTCGTGTTTTCAAATTATTATCAGGTGTAACAAAGATGGATAATGGTCGATTATAACGGTTAGTTTTACAAGTATTATCATGCATTATCACATCATGATAACGTAACCATAATATTTGTTGTTCTGGACTCATCCAAAAAAGATGAGTTAATGAAGAAGTAATAGGATCTAATTTCATTGAGACTACCCATCGAGGATCTTCTATTTTTTTTTAGTGGAGTCTTTTTAGCAAGATTCCCGCATCTGCTTCACCTGGTGTTGATTCACGACGAAATTTACTAATAGCATTATAAAGATCTGGTCTATGTATTCTAATTTTAAATTTTTCTCTAATAATTCGATATTGTATAGTTGCATCTGCCTTAGCAACAACTGTTAAAAAGCGAATTTCTTCCATAATCTCATCTGATAATTTTCGTAATGTAGGGACAAATTTAATTGCTGATGGATGAAGCTCATGACCGACATGTTGATCATGTAAAGTTGTGACCTCAAGACAACCTTTACTTTTTTTTGCCCAAATATTTACTCTCCATGGACATTCAACTCGGCAAGATGAAGTTTGTCTTTTCGATGATTTGGACTTAGCTTTTCCAGCATGGCGACACAAGTATGTTCGTTTTGTTATTTCTTGTGTTGTTTTATCTACCCTTCCTCCTCCACCAATTCTTACTCCATGGCCTTTGGTAGCAGCGTATTTTTTCATAAAATTTGCTACACAATACCAATTATGAAAGGTCTTGCCAACATAAAGCTTCATAGTATCCTCCTCCTCCTCCTTCTCCTCTTCCTCCTCTTCCTCCTCTTCCTACCCTTCGGCAATATCTTCAATTTCATATTCATTATCGGACATGCCATTTAAACTATAGTAACAAAAGGCATAGCTAATATCATTAGATATATTCTAACTACCTAAGAAAATCTATATTACTTAAACTGTCAGTATCAGAAAATTCTTCCGCACTATCATATTTCAACAAAGCTTCTAATTCGGCGTCTTGAATGTTTTTTTCCATAATACACAATTGTAAGTTAAAAAACAAAGGTAAAGTGTGTGTAATTAGTTTTAAAAGAAGTAAACAAGCAGTTTATTGTCAAATAATCAAGGTAAAATATGTATTTTAGTTAAGAAATACAGGCCATTTATTCTGAATAAACGTGAATAAAACAAACAAGAGTGAAAAAAAAAAATTAGTTATTGATATTTGGTAATACGATGGTCACGCGCGTGATTATTATGAATATGTACGCGTGTGATAATATGTGATAACTCGCGATCTATCATATGCATGATGTCATAAATATACGTGTAATACAAAATTATATGATTTATTTATAGGGGTCGCCATGGCAACCCGGGTTGCCAGCTACATTTTGCCTAGGTTTATTTAGAATAATTTGTTTAGATTTTTTTAAGATTTTTTTAGATTTGTTTGAATTTGTTAAGTTTTTTTAAAGTTTATTTAGATTTCTTAGAATTTTATAGATAAATTTATACTATTATATTTTATAAGTTAAATTTTAATAAATTATATAATTTATTTTAATTCTAAGATTTATTTATTTATAAATTAATAGATTTAAAATTCTAAAAATTCACTTAAAATTATTTATTTAAATAATTCTTTAATAGTATTAATTTTTTAAATTTTAATAAAAAATTTTTTTTTTTATATTTAACAGTTTTTTTTTAAAAAAATAAAGATTAATTTTAGCAGTTTTATTATTATTTTTATTATTTTATTTTTATTACATATTTGTTTTTTTTTTAAATATTTTTTTTTGTAAGGTAGTGCAATTTAACATCTGTTATATAACTAATTTATTAAAATTTCAAACTAACATTCTTCTTTAGCTAATATATCAGCTGGATCATTATATTCATTTTCAGAATGTGCTTTAGCTTTAATTAATTTAATATCCAATTTTAATGTTATTTTGACATATTTGATAGCTTGCCATATTAAGATATTGTTGATTTTTTTGAAATTGATTATACAATACTTCCTCCTTCATGATTTTAAATATATCATCAGTATAATCACTTTCTAGTTCTTCTACAAAGTCAGTTTTCTATCCATAAGAAATTCACCTATATTCTTTAATAGTCAATATAAGATCATCAAATTATATTCATTTAAGAATTATAAAATTTTCTATTTATTTTAATTCATTTTATTTACTAATATTAGATATTTCTAAAAAATTATAAAAATAATGAAAATATAAAGTTAAAAAATACTTTTTAACTTTTTAATTTTGCAATTTTTTTTTGGATAACATTAATAAAATTATATGATGAATAATACCATAAAAGAAAAATCAATCATCAATAGTAAAAAGTTTTTTCGTATTATTATTATTATTACCACCTGATCCATCTTCAATATCTTGAACATCTTTAATATTATCATCATTATCAGGTAAAATATTTGACTCTTTTTGTTCAGTTTTCTTTTTTTTATTAACTAAATTTAAAATAAAATATAACATTAATAAATAATAATAATGAAAATTAAATATAATAAAAATTTACTTACGGTATTTTTTTAAACCTTTATTGAAATTTCTTGTCACAATTATTGCATATATAAATGTTAACTGATAATAAAGAATTAAAGTTAATTAATATTTTTTTAATAGTTGAAAAGTCATTACTATAAAATAAATACAACTTACTATTGCACAAATTATTAAAAAGCACACTAGAATTTTTTTTTATTTTTTTGAAAAAAAAAAGTTAAGAGTTAAATACGAATAATAAGGATTGATTAATATTATATAATTACATAATATTGCCCAAGAATATATTCCAAGTTTAATCATGAGTATTCCAAAATCAATAGTCAAATAACAGAAATCTAATAAAGCAAATATCCAGAATATAATAAAAATGATCATTCCGACTTTCCATTCTTTTCTTATCTATTATAAATATACAATATATAATTAATGATATAATGTATCAATTTAATAAAACATGAGATATAATGTACAGTATAAGTATCATTTTTACCGATTTATACGCTAATGCTTGAAAGAAAAATACCAAGATCAAAATTGACAGACATACAAAAACAAAAACTTTAAAACCAGTATTATATTGATCATACGATGTTACGAAATCATAAAATACAAGCGGAGCTGTTATGGAACCATATAAAATTACGAAAAATAAATCAATTTTTAATAACATTTCGAAAATTAGAATTGTTTTGTACCGCTCTATTTTTTTTTTTAATAAAAAAAAGAAACCCAAATTCATTAATAAATAAATTAAATTGAATTCACCAACATTAATAACTTACTTCTAACTTCAATGTCACCACCAATCTTCTTATAAATATCCCAATCAAGTTGTTGAGATAACTTTCCAAAAAATAATGCACCCAAAGTAATCGCTATAATCGCTAAAGCTATAATGTGAGGCAATTCATACGATTTAATGGTGTAATCTATTTGAATGTTCGGACAATTCGATTCGATTTTAGTTACGTTTATTTTCACTCCAATCATTTGGATCTAATTTAATTGAGAAGAAATTTGGTTACGATAATTAAATTTAAAAGTTATTGCGCCGCAGCACTTATTGTTGAAAAATATTATATTTACGATTCCGAGAATTACTTCTATACCATTAATCACGATAATCGTATAAAGTTGTACGAAATTTTGATGGAAAATCTAAATTATTTAATGGAAAGTTTAGCGCCATAGAGTATATAACGGATAAACGGATAAAGTATATATACATGTATACATAAAATATTCACCGCATTCAAACAAAAATACAGTAGGTATAAATTAAATACAACAAACATAATACTTTCAAACATTAGGCATGCAAATATTTGGCTAGCCAAAGAACATTCTTCTTGGTCTAAAATGGAAAGGAATATATTCGTATTACGAGATAATATTCGAATTTGTAGGGTAATCAATGTTATGGCCTGTATAATTGATATTACTACGAATGCTATTGTATATCTCGACTCTGTGACACGTTGCCACTTTTTTGATATGGAGTGTTTTAAAGTCATTACTGTAAGTGATTTAATTTTTTAATTTTTTATTTTTTTTATTTTTTTTTATTTTTTTGAAATAAAAACAGAATTCGATTATTTAATCTTAATATAATATTTTATGTCTTTTTTACCAAAACTTAAAAGCCTGATTCTATATTTGTAGAACCCTACATCCGTTATGTTGGGCTTAATGCTTATGCAACAACATTACCAAATTTGTTTGATACCGAGTATTATATGGAGAAGTCAGTTTAGCTTTATTTGTTTATAACTTACCTTTAATAATTATGACTTTCTAAAATAATAATTATTAAAATACAAATACAATAAATATACAAATATTATATACATTTTAAATTCTGAATTATTATTCATCAATGATAAATCTTTCTACATTACTACTACTACTCTGTCCCTTTTCAATATCTTTAAATTTATCAATTACTATATCATCATCATCAGATAAAATATTTAAACCTTCATGTATTTGTTTTTTAGGAAGATTTTTATCAACTAAACAATTAAATAAAAAAAATCAATAACAATCACAATTTTGGAATGGTAGGCAATAAAATGTAACTTACGATATTCTCTTAAACCTTTTCCAAAATTCATTATTACAATTATTGCATATGCAAATGTTAACTGAAAAAAAAAAATGTATTGTAAGTGTTAGTTATAAATAATTATTGTAAACTACAATAATCCCTCTGATACTTACCAATGCACAAATTGTGAAATTGCACACTATATATACAAGGAATTAAATAAATTTATTAGTTTTATTTAGAACAAAAAATTAACAACCAATCTTTTAATAATTAATATATATATATATCACAAAATTACTTAATATTATCCAAGAATATATTCCAAATTGAATAAATGATGCGACTCCAAGTTTGAGAGCCAAATAAGCAAAATCCGATACAACAAATATCCAGAATAGGATAAACGCGATTATTCCGAATTTCCATTCTTTTTCCATCTGATAAAATAATATTTTTTTTTAGTTGATTAAGAATAATTAAATTACAATTATACATCATACATGTATATTTTTTTTACCGATTTATATGCCAGCGCTTGAAAGAATAATACTAGGACCGTAATTACAAAACATCCAAAAACTAGGATTATTTGTTCTCTTTTAAGTTCATCGGAATTTATAATAATATATAACAAAGGCGGTAATATTAAGACGTTATATAAAAATACGAAAAGTAAATCAACCTTTAGTAACATTTTGAAAATAAGTATTGCTTTAAATCGTTCTTTTTTTTAAAAATAAAAAGGAGAAAACAAATCATTAACAATAAATTTCATAAAATGGTTGCTCGAAAAAATGCGTTGCATTAAAATCTTACTTTGCATTTCAATGTCACCACCAATTTTCTTGTAGATATTCCAACCAAATTGTTGATATAACTTCCAAGATAATGTAGCAATCAAAGCTGCTGTGACCGCTAAGACTAAAATATGAGGTAATTCATATAATACTAAATTGTTATTTAATTGAAGTCCCGGGCACATTGATTCAATTTTATTTCCGTATATTTTTATATCAATCAGTTGAACCTAAAAATTGAGAAGTTATAATTCTGTCACATAATTTGAGAACGTAGAAAAATTGAAATTTATTTACTATTCCGAGAATTACGTATCCAATATTAATTATGATAATCGCAAAGATTTGCATTGTGTTTTGATGAAAAATCTGTTATTTAAATTTATTAAAGTTTTTTTTTTTTTTAATCAACACACATAAAAATATCACACTCACCGTGCTCAAGCAAAAATAGAATTGATAAAGATTAAATAAAATGAACATAACATCTTCGGTAATTATCATCATAAATCTGGAAACGACAATAACTGAAGTACACATGTTTCTTTCGTTATTTGTAACGAATGGATAAATCTCACTCAAATATAAAGCTACATTACGAGATAATATTCTAACTTGTAGGAAGATCAATATGACGGTCTGTATAGCTGATAACGCTACAAATAATTTTGTATATTTTGACTCGGTAATTCGTTGCCATTTTTTTGATAATGTGTGGTTTAATTTAGCACATGCCATTCTTTTTTTTTAGTAATTGATGGATTATTCATGTCTGAGGAAAAACCCCAAGCTTTTTTGAGTTTAAATATTTAAAAAAAAAATTTAAATATATGCGTTTTAATTAAGACCAATTTCAAATTTATTGTAATAATAAACTGTTTTACAATCAAACGGGATTTCCATATTGTAATATTACCATTAGAATTCGTACTTGATTTCTAAAAAAAAAAATAGTTTTCTGCAGGCATTTTCTAAATATTACCTGCAAGTCATTTCAACATCGGAATTGTACACCGGCAAACGGTAACACCATCTAATTTTCAATTTTGCGCCTTTAAGTTTAAAATCAAATTAGGATTATCTTTATTAAATTTTTTTCTACTTAGAATCCTTGTGAATGTAACTTGAGAACTTTAAATGCCAAACAATTATGTAACGCACACAGTCACCTGATATTGCCGATCAAAGAATTCTTGCCTCTTAGGATTGCAGCAATAGCGACGTATAAACAGAAGTTGTCTCATATTCAATTCTATTATTCCAATCAATTTGGATATTCAAGAACAATTTATTCCGAAAATTTTCCGTTTTCTTTACTTTTCCCATTTTCTTTACTTTTTTAGAAGTAAAAATTATTACTGAAAGGTAAAAGAAAGAATATTACAAACCAAATTTATTATTACATGATTCGGGATAAACTTTCTTGAAACGAAACATAATAGTCAATTTCTAATTATGGGCGGTAAAAAATTTATTCTTTGTTTTTACAAATTAAGATTATATGGTGTCGGAAGTCTAAGTTTATACTCAAACAATCACGTGATTTTGTTTCAAATTTTCTATGTATGATAATTTTAAATTCGAACTTCGAAATTAAAATATGTAAATTCGAAACACCTATCTATATACATGTATTTTATCGTATGGGCTGATTTGACGCATTGCATGTGATAATTTCATAGTAAATGGGAATTGGTTACTATTTGGTATGATGCGTCAATATGTTTATTTGAACTGATCCGTAAAGCCAGTAATAATTAAATCATTTCTCACGTGGTTAATTCCTAAATACGAAGTGACGTTCTTTTAAATGGAAAAAGACCCTAACTAACCATGAAACTAAACTAATTTTATCGATGAAATTTTTCCTGTTGCACAAAAAAAAAATAACTATAAATTCTGTCATGTAGCATTTATTGGGAAAATTTAATTAATCAATTGCTTTATCGAGATCATCGAAATCGAAAAGAATAATAGTACAAAAATGAATACACCTGGGTCCATGATTCTTGGATGGTAGAATAATAAAAATATATATATATTTTTTCTAACTGATTTATTTACAATATTAATTATTATTTCTTTTCTCCAATCATTAATTAAAAATTACTAGGGTTGCTCTCATTGTAGGTAAGAGATTTAACTTTTTTATAATTATTGAAAACATTATTCTAACAAGAATAATTGTTTCTTCTTTTTTTTAATAAAAAAAGCTGGAGGAGGTGCATTCTATTATGCTAAAAAAGACATTGATGCAAGAAGAAGAGCTCAAGAAATTGCTAAAACTAGACCAATCGAAAAATTAGAATGTAAGTTAATGATTCATTGTCATTATTGACCAATCTATAAAATAATTGAATTTTAATTTTTAAAAAAAGCTTTAAATTTTTTTAAATTTTCAACAATGGTATAACTTTTTCATTCATTTTTCTTTTTTTAGGGTGGCAAAAAGTTGAACAAGATGAAAAATCTAAATCAAATGTTACTAATGCTACTAGTGAAAGTTCAACAACATCATCATTGCCAAATACAGGACAAATTTCAACGAATAATGACACAAAGAAGTAATGGCTCTTAATTGTGAATTATAATTATTATCATTTAACTAAAGATCCTATTTAAGGGTTAAAGCTCCCTTTCTTTTTTGTTAAAGAAATTACTTCGTAACAAAAAACTTCTTTATTTCTCTCCTTTGCAATTTATAAATGATTACCTTATAATTATATAATGTTTAAGGGGAAAAAAATAATCAAAGACAGATTAACAAGAAATCATCTTACTCTTAAAGGTATATTCTTTTGTTTTATTCACACATCTATAACGAAAAAAAACATTATATCTAAAATCTTTGCAATAAAAAAAAAATTAAAAAGAAAAGGATTTATTTAATTGTGTAAGTATAATAAACATAATATAATTGAATGCTAAAAGTAAAAAATATTAAATGGAAACTATAACAAATTTATTAACGTATTGTGAAAGCCAACTTAGAGAATTTTTTTTTAGAAGATAGAGCGGATTCATTTTTAACCTACCTCGGATAAAATATCATCTAAAAATTATTCAACAGGGAACCCATGTAATGGGCCAATTTCTTATATACTGTTTCATGTAGCAGATTATCATGAAAATTGATTATCATCAGATCAATGATTTTTCTTTTATATAATAACGATATATAATTCCGTTTACGAATCGTTCGATATGTCGAAGTATCGAACAGTTCGTTTTGCAGAGTTTGATAGTAATTAAAAATCTTTTCCCATTTTAACGTGTTCTATCCCAGCTTCATAAAAAATTTCATCGCTCAACACCTTATATCCTCTGTTTTCATACCATGATGATTTATATTTTTGTGCATGAAGAATACATTTTTCATAACCTAATTGTGATCTAGCAAATGATTCTGCTTTATTTAATAATAAAGCTCCTATCCCTTTTCCTCTATACTCTTTTAAAACTGATAATCGTCCAATTTTAGCAATTTTTGGTGTATTATCATCATAAGGGTATATTCTTAATGTACCAATTGGTTGTGTATTCTTTAGTGCTAAAAAATGATTACAATTTAATGATGAGTCATGTCTAAAGATCCAATAATAAAATTAGTATATATTTATTATAATAGAATTTTTATTCGTTTTATTTTTTTTTAAAAAAAACTTACTCATCAATTTCTTCCTCAATAGGACAACTTTGTTCTTTAACGAATACTTCTTTTCTCACTTGAAGGCATTTTTCCTTTTCTTTTTTTATCAAAAAAAAAGGGAAATGTGTTATTTTTTAAATTTTTAATTTTTTAATTAATATATAAATAATACTTTAAACCTTCTTGAGTTGTAACATGAATTATTTCAATGTCTCCCATTTTAAAGACTTCGAAATTTTTTTTTAAAATAGAAAAAAAATTTCGTTTATTTGTTTATAATTGGTAACACTTGTAAATCTTGTCAATCAAAACAATCAATATAGAATACGGAGTTTTATTGTTATTTTTTTCAAATACAAAAATAAAAAAGATGAATAATAAATAATAATAATAATAATATAAATAAATAAAAAATATGTTTACGAAATTCTCTCACAATTCATGGAAATCTTTACCATTTTTTGTGGCTTTAACGTATCCCATCCTAATAACAAAATCTCCAAATCTTTCCCCATCATTTCTTTCTTTAGCGTATCTGTTTAATATAGGTTTTAATTCTCTTAATATGTCATCTTCTTTCAAACTTTCTTTATATAATTTATTTAATCTTTGCCCATAAAATCCTCCTCCTAAATAAAGATTATAAGTTCCCATTGCTTTACCTACAAAAGCAATTTCTGCTACGTAAGGTCGTGCACATCCATTTGGACATCCTGTCATTCTAATTGTAATCGCATCCTCTCTTAATCCGCATTCTTCAATAATAATTTCTAATTTACTTACAAGTGTTGGTAAATATCTTTCGGATTCTGCCATTGCTAATCCACATGTTGGTAATGCTACACACGACATTGAATTCAATCTTAAACCAGTAAATCGTAAATTATCCAAATTATATTTTTTCAATAATTGTTCAATTTGTTCCTTATCTTGCTCTGATACATTTCCTAATATAAGATGTTGATTTGGTGTTAACCGAAAATCTCCTTTATGAACTTTTGCAATCTCTCTTAATCCTGTTTTTATAGGTTCTCCGGGTAAATCTATAACACGTCCATTTTCTATATACATACAAAAATTCCATTTATCATCAACACCTTTTGTCCATCCATATCTATCCGCATTATTTTCAAATTTATATTCTTTTGGTGAATCCAATTTAAATCCTAATCGAGATTCAACTTCTTCTCGGAACCAATCCAAGTCACGATCATCAATTGTATACTTGAGTCTTGCGTGTTTACGATTTGAACGATCTCCAAAATCTCTTTGAACCAACATCACTTTTTCTGCAACATCAATTGCTTGATCTGGTTTACAAAATCCAATTAACTGACCCAAATTAGGATATGTCTTCTTATTATTATGCGTCATACCCATTCCACCTCCAACTGTCACGTTATATCCTAAAAGCTTGTCATTATCATCGGAAATTGCAATATAACCCAAATCGTGAGCAAATACATCGACATCATTATTAGGTGGAATCGCAATCGCAACCTTGAATTTACGTGGTAAATAAGTAGGCCCATACAATGGTTCAAAATCTTGTACGGCTTGTCCTGCTACCATCTTATCATCTAACCAGATTTCATGATATGCTGTCGTTCTCGGTGACAAATGTGCACTTAATTTCTTTACGAAATCTTGTACTTCTGCATGCACTCCAGAGATAAGTGGATTTGGGTTACACATAATATTCCTGTTAACATCTCCACATGCCGCTAACGTATCCAATAAACATTTATTAATATCACGTATAGTTTGTTTCAAGTTTCGTTTAAGAACTCCGTGTAACTGATAAGCTTGTCTAGTAGTTAATTTCAACGATTTATTTCCATATTTTTCAGAGATTTCGTCCATAGCTAACCATTGACTAGCTTTAGAAATTCCTCCTGGAACTCTAATTCGTATCATAAATTGAAAAGCCTTTTCTAAACCTTGAGCTTTTCTTTCATCTCTCAAATCACGATCATCTTGTTGATAAATTCCATGAAATTTCGTTAATTTAGTATCTCGTTCAGTTAATGCACCTGTTGAAGTATCCTCTAAACCTTCCGCAATTGTTCCTCTTAAATAATTTGATTCCACTTTCATATCATCATCAGTTCTTTTAGGTTCTTCAACAACTGTACCAAGTAATTCAACTCCAAGAGCTTTCCAAAGTTCAGGTTCCCAAGCTTGAAATCCAGTTTCATATCCATCAGCATCTTGATCATCTCCTAAGCCAAGTGGTGTCAATCTTACTCCTCCTAATAATTCTAACCTTGCATCTAAATCTTTACCAGGTTTATTATAGTAAATTGCATCTTCTTCTCTTGGCCAATAATGACTATCTCCTAATCCAAAAACTGCATATCTTGACTCTGAAAACGAAATATCCGTAGTAGAAGAAACATGTTTCCAGAATTCACGCGAATTCTGTGGAAATTCTCCTTGACCAGCTGTACAACAAACAAAAACTAAATTTTTTTCTAAAGTAATATCTTCAATCGGATAATCATCCATTGCCATACATTGTGCATTAACTCCTCTAGCTGTTGCACCTTTTTGTAATCTTCTTGCTATACCTTCGGCATTACCATTATCCGATCCAAATAAGATTAATAATGGTGGACCCGTTAAACCACCTAATAATTTATCATAAGCTGATTTTGCAAGAGATTTTTGTTTTGTTTTAATTTCTGATTCAAGAGAATTTATTACTAATGGAGAATATTCTGGACGTGAACGAACTAATTGTGTTAAGTGATTTTCTCTATCCAAGAAATTTTGAAGTTCTTGCTTAATTCGTTCAGAATCTAAAAGGAATGGTTCTAATCCTTCCTTTTCCAATTGAGGATTCCATCTATATAATGGCCAATAACCAGTATCTACGGCCAGTTTTGTTTCTTTCAATACTGTAATAGTAGTATCCTCTTTGGAATGATAAGGAAGATAAGCCAAAACAATTGATGGACCTTTGAATTTTTCTGCTTCCATTAATGCATGCAAAACTTGAGTATAAGAAGAATATATTGCTACGGAAGCTACATAAACGTCACCATAATTCATTGCGTATAAACCAATATCCTTTTTACGTTTTTCTGGATCGGCTGCAGTACGTGTTGTATAAGGTTGTGAATCAATAATTAACATATTAATATCTTTTCCAGAAGAAATTACGTGATGAACGCCAGAACCTCCAATATCATAAGCCCATGCATCTGAACCAATTACCCATTGAGATGGTTTAACGAACAAATTTTTGGATTGAAAAATTTCCGTAATGGAAGGATGAGTTGGAGGTGATGATGTAAGAATTTCTGTAATCTGGTTACCATATTTTTTTGAAAGAATAGAATCATCTTTATGTAAAAGCCATTGTGATAATGCTGTATGAAGGGATTCAGAAACGTTGATAGAATTGTCTTTGGCAACACGTGTCACAAGATCCACTAATTGAGAACGTTCATGAAGTTTTGCTAATAAAACTCCAAATCCAAATTCTGGTGTAGATTTTACAGTTTCAAAATTTCCAGCATCACGTTTTAAAGCAGAATTAGCAATATATAATCTTTCACCAAAAACTTCCCTAAGCATTTTAAGGTAAGGTTTTTCCAACACGGGTGAATTTTCAATATAATCCGTATTATCATTATCATTAAAATCGGTAATATCTTTCGTATGTGATTTGGGTAATTCTTTACCAAGAATAAAATTACGAGAAGGTTCACTTGAATTAAGATTTTCAAATAGTTGCGAAACTTCGGTATCAATTGAATCTTTTTTTAAAGCACCATATTGACCACATATAATAAGAGGTGATTGTCCAGACCAATAATTACGATTTTGAAAAGCTGATACAACGTCTAAATACAAAGGAGTCCATTTGGTTGTACGAGGTATAACTTGTTCTAATACAGCAACATTTTTTACAGATTTTGGAACATTCTTAAGTAAATATTGATCAGACCAAGGACGATATAATCTTACTTTAAGTAAACCGATATTTGTAATTTCAGTTTTTTCAAAAAGATTTTTTTTTAAAAGTGACGCTCCGGAACCCAAAGTAATGATAATTGATTCTGATTTTTCATCACCAGAAAAATCAATTAATTTATAAGATCTATTTGTTATTTGTTTAAACTTTTCAAATATATTTTCGGTGATAATGAAAAAATCATCATTATTATTATTGTTTTTGTTGTTATTTTTAGAATCTTCATTTGCAGTTGTTTCATCTTGTTGGTCATCGGCTGATAATGGAATACCATTATAAGATCTAAAGTAAAGTTCGGTAGATTTATTTTCGTTTGAAGCTAAAATATAATCACGATATTGTTTAATATCAGATTCTTCGACGAGTTTTTTAATCTCGTCATTTCCGAACTTCTTAATTTTTCCTTTTGATTCATCATTATCAAAGAAATGTATAACGGAAACTCCAGTTTTTAAAGCAATTGAATGAGCAATTAAAGCCATATCTGAAGTTTCTTGACCACCATTAGAATGTAATAAAGCAAATCCAGTTTGCCTTAAAGCCATAATATTGGTATAATCACCTAATTGATATGATTCATTTTTATCTAAAGCAATATGAATAACTAAACTACCACCAATCTTATTCTTATTATTATTAGATATTTTATAAAGGTGTGGTATAGAATTAATTAAAACATTATTTGAAGAATTTGAAGGTATAATTACACTAATTAAAGAACCTTTTGATAATTGAATATGTAATTTTGAAAATGGATCAGAAATTGAACTTAAAATTTCTAATTCCGGTGTTCCACTAAAAATATTTTTCTTTCTTGTTTGATTTGTTAAATCTGATACAATCGAAGATTTTAATGAAGATTTTGGTGAATTCGATTCTATAATATAAATTAAATCGCTTACTGAATAAGCGATTCTTGCCGCTCCTATTAATGATGATGTCATGTTTTTAACTTATTCGAAGCTAAAAACTCGAATTATAATCAACAAAATTTTTTTTCTATTAAAATTGATAATTATCGTTAAAAATATAAAACTTCAATTTTAAATTATAAAGAGAGGAAATGCATTGATTTCACATCAAGAACTTTTTTTTATAAAAAATTCAGTAACACAAGATTTTTTTTTATTTTTTTTTTGGATTAATAATCATCAAAAATACTCCACATTTGATTCGAGATTTGCACAAATTGATGATTTACATCATTCATATCATTTAAACGTTATATTTATCATATGAATTAAAAACTTCGCATAATGTGGTTGGCAAAAAGTTGATTATAAATCACAACTCTTTCCGATAAATTTTTTTTTTAAATATAATGGATGGGGGAAAAAAAAATATCAGTATTCGACACATACCGAATTTACGTTTATATGAATAATAGTTATTTTTAACATATTAATAGTCGCACCCCTTTTTGCACGTAATGCAGGCCAATGAATGTCATTGTTTTCGAGATCATAACATATAAGGTAATTTACGAACCTGTATTTTAGTTAGGCGCTTCAGATGGCGCAATAAACAGAATAGATGGCATATAGAAATATTTATAATCACTCATGTAGCATGAGGTCTCTAAATTATTGGTTAAGAGATGTTAAAAAGCGAAAATGACTCGATTCTATATTTAAAATACACGACTAAAAAAAGTCATGTGATGTTTTTTATTAATTATTCTACAATTAAAAAAACTGAAACAATAAAATATGAAAAATTACATTTTTTTTTTAATTCAGTATAATAAAATAAAAAAATTTTGATGATTGATTAAAGTTTTTTTTTTGTCTGTTTCAAGTGTTGTAATTATTTAACAAATAATGAAAAAAAATGTCTGTCCAAAATTGATTTTTCATCTATCCCACCCAGTTTGTTTTTTATCCTAATTTTTTAACAAAATTTTCCTCCGATAAATTCTGACCAACTTTTAACTTCGGACGGATGTTCTCCAGGAGCTTGACTACTTGATTCTTGTCTCTTTCTTTTAACAGCTTCTACAAATAATACAGCACATTTACTATCATTAACTAATGGTATGCCAAAATCGACTGCAGATCTTCTGGCAATATAATTTTCATCTGTCGTTTGAGAAGCTCTCAATTGAGCAAGATTGAATACAAAGTCAATATTATTATTTTCGAATACTTGATGAAGTGCTTTCTTATCATTCTCTGGTAATGCTAATGTTGTAGCTTTAATATTATTTTGTGCCAAGTATTCTGTGACTTTTGGTGAACTTGTGTAGAGTGGATGACCCAAGTCTTTAGAAAGAGTGCTTGCTACTGTGATAAAATCATCATTGTTGGTTAAGTCATCTCTGCCAACCAAAATGCCACCTCCAATTTTAGGTACTCGGAAATTTTGTGTGGATTGAATTGCTGACCAATATGCTTCATATTTATCTTTACCGAAACATGCGACTTCTCCTGTTGATGCCATTTCAACTCCAAGGAATGGATCAGCTCCCTGAAGACGTGTCCATGAAAATTGTGGCACTTTAACTGCTTGATAATCTTTCTTCTCAGCCATAAGATCAACTGGTTCCGGAACATTCTTATCACACAAAGCCTTAGTTGCAACATCGATGAAATTTGTACCGAGTACTTTTGATACGAATGGGAATGATCGGGAAGCACGAAGATTGCATTCTATAACCTTCAATTCTGATTCTCCATCAGGGTTGTCCTTTTTAATAATTTGCATATTGAAAGGTCCTGTTATCTCAAAAGCCTTGGCAACCTTTTGAGCAATTTCCTTCAATCTAGCCATAGTATGATCATTAATATCACGAGGCGGTAATACCAAAGTAGCGTCACCAGAATGTACACCAGCATTTTCAACATGTTCAGATACGGCATGGACTAAAACTTTACCCTTATAAGCAACAGCATCAACATCAATTTCTGCTGCAGGTGAAATAAATTTGGTAATAACCACTGGGTGCAATGGTGAAACTGATGTAGCTTCGGAGAGATTCTCATGTAGAGCCTCACGCGTATGACAAACGTTCATAGCAGCTCCAGAAAGTACATAAGAAGGACGAACAAGAACTGGATAACCAACTTTATCAGCAAATTTCTCAGCTTCTTCAGCACTTGATAATTCTTTCCATTCAGGTTGATCCACTCCAATTTGATCTAATATTTGGGAAAATTTAAATCGATCTTCAGCTTTATCAATACTAACGGGACTTGTTCCCAAAATGTTAACTTCATTTTGATGCATTCTAAGTGCAATATTCTGTGGTAATTGTCCACCCACAGAAACGATAACTCCTCTAGCAGCTTCTTGTTCATAAATATCCATTACACGCTCGTAAGAAAGTTCCTCAAAATATAGTCTGTCGCATTCATCAAAATCTGTTGAAACGGTCTCAGGATTGTAATTAACCATAAGAGTCTTAAGTCCAAGATCTCGAAGAGCACGAATAGCTGATACACCACACCAGTCAAATTCGACGGATGACCCGATACGATAAACGCCAGAACCTAAAACCATGGTTCCATGATCATCGAATTTAACATCATGTGTTGAAGCATTATATGTTGTGTACAAATAATTTGTGTTGGCAGGGAATTCAGCTGCGAGGGTATCGATCTTTTTGGTGAATGGTGTGATGCCATACTCTTTTCGAACTTTGCGTACTTGATCTTCATTAGTATTTAACATTGCAGCAATTTGTGCATCCGAAAATCCTTTCTTCTTTGCTTCTTGTAACAATTCCTTGGAAACATTTTCAAGTTTTTCGGCGTGTTTAATGTCATGTTCAACGTTTACAATGTTGCCCAATTTATAAAGGAACCATTTATCGATCTTCGTAAGGTTATGAATTTGATCAATAGTATAATTTTTTTCAAGCATAGCGTGCCCAACTGCAAATAAACGACGATCAGTTGGAACTGTAAGAGATTTATCAAGATCAGGGAATGGTAAAGATTGGAAACCCTTGAACGAAGGATCGACTTGACGAATGGCCTGAAGAAAAAAAAAGAAAAAGAAAAAAATATAAATTAGAATACAGGTTCATTAATATAAAGCGAATTTTTTTAAAATTTACCTTTTGTAAACTTTCTTCAAATGTTCTACCAATAGCCATAACTTCACCAACACTCTTCATAGAACTACCAATTTCACGATTAACATGTTGGAATTTGCTCAAATCCCATCTTGGAATCTTTGTAACAATATAATCCAAAGATGGTTCGAAACAAGCAGTGGTGGTTTTTGTAACAGCATTATGGAGTTCTGGAAGAGTGTGTCCTAAAGCGATCTTGGCAGCAACGAAAGCAAGAGGATATCCTGTAGCTTTGGATGCAAGAGCTCTGTTGAATCAAAATAGAATGGAGTTACCAAATTGCTCATTTTTTTTTAAAGAAAAAAAATTATTTTTTTAAACGTTTGAAACACTCACGAACTACGACTAAGACGAGCATTCACTTCAATAACTTTATATTCAAGACTTTCAGGGTTTAACGCATATTGAACATTGCATTCACCGACTACACCCAAATGACGAATAATTTTGATGGCTGCAGTTCTAAGCATATGATATTCCTCATCGGACAAAGTCTGACTTGGGGCGACCACAATGGAATCACCAGTATGAATACCAAGAGGATCAAAATTTTCCATATTACATACTGTAATACAATTGTTTGCAGCATCACGGACAACTTCATATTCTACTTCTTTCCATCCTTTCATTGATTTTTCAACAAGAATTTGCGGTGATAATGATAAAGATTTAGCAGCTAAACTGTGAAGTTCTTCAGGATTATTTGCAAATCCAGAACCAAGACCTCCAAGTGCAAATGCCGATCGAACGATTATAGGATAACCAATTTTATCGGCAGCTGCAAGGGCATCATCAATCGTAGAGACTGCAGTTGATTGAGCGACAGGAATATCAATTTCTATTGTATAAAAAGAATTAAAATATTAATTGGGAAAAATTGTTACAAAAATAATAACAACATATCTAAAAAAATTATCTTAATTACCTTTCAAAGCATCGGCAAAAAGAGCTCTGTCTTCACTCACTTCCAAGGTTCGAATAGGAGTACCCAAAACTTTAATTCCCAATCGTTTAAGAACTCCCATTTGTTCCAATTTAATACCCACATTCAACCCAGTTTGACCTCCAAAAGTTAATAAGATACCATCTGGTCTTTCACGTTCAAGAATGTGAGTAAGATATTCGACTGTGACAGGGAGAAAATATACACTATCGGCTAAGGCATGTGATGTTTGGATGGTGGCAATATTTGGATTAACTAAAATCGTGCTAACGCCTGATTCTCGTAAAGCTTTAATGGCTTGTGAACCTAGATTTAACATAATAATAGGATTATTAGTTCTACTTATCATAACTAAAATTAATTCAGATATAAATTATATTTACCAGAATAATCGAATTCACCAGCTTGACCTATAGATAGACCACCAGATCCTACTACAAGAACTTTTTTAACATCGACCTTAGGGACATCTGCAAATATGAGATCCCGAGTTTCATCTATCACTTTTTTATGAGCACTTTCTTCTTGATGTTGAACCGCACTTGTATTATAAAAGTGATAAGATATTCGAGCTGTTGTTGGTCGAAAAGAACGTAAATAAGGAGATGTAAAAGCACCTAAAGAAGGAGTAACACACGAATTTTGGAATGGTGTGGTGGTAATGGAAGGGGTTAAAATTCTACGAGTTGTAGAAGTTGTAGTTTTGTGAAAACCCCGAGAAACCCTGGGTATAGAAGTTTGAACTCTGGATAATAATATTGAACTAACTCGACGTACAGGACTTGGAGACCTAATAAAATTATTATACATAATTATGAATTTTTCGTGTATTAAATTAAATATTTATCATTCATAGAAAATTTTTTGAATAAAGTATTATTTGGCCCTTTATTGTTAGCCGTAGAAGAGACCTACCTGCTCTTTTATGAAGGGTTTATAAATACCTTTAACCAAGTTTTGTTGATGATAAGGAAACGATGAAAGATAATCAATCTTCTTCATTAGGTAATAGGATCGACGAATCAGTAGATGACTCAAATTTATCAGATATTAGCCAATAAATTCATCTGAAATGAAGATAATTATAATTTTGTGTTCAATAAGGAAAGCGCCAATGCGCCGTTCATCCATCAATTGATGGGTAGTCCCGTTGGCAAAATCAATTGATTACAAAAATCTTTATTATTTTTTAGCGAAACAAATGAAACAAATTATGTATAAAAGAAAAAAAAATTTTTTTTTTATATTTTGATTATCAATAAGGTCCAAGCGCATGTGTTAGAGCATATCGATCACGTAATCTTTCTCAGTCCCAATTTAATCTAATCTTTATACAAACTTTGAATAGCAAATAAATTAAAATAAATTAATTTAGATTACCCTCTTTTTTTCGGTTTAAAAAATTGTTTTACCAGTTTTTTTTACAATATTAGTAAAACGGAATTTAAAAATTTTCAATATCCCTGAAGTTAATATTATTTTGAGATAATCAATTAAACGTTTTTTTCCGAGATATTACATCTTTAAAGATAACATTAAATCTACTAAAATAAATTAGCTTAATAAATTTTGTAGCAGGGTATTTTTTTACGTAATATAATTATCCGATCCTTTTTTATTTTTAGATCGGTTTTTTTTTTTTTATAAATTCATTTTTTATTATTTTTAAAATATTGGCCGCCCTAGTGATAAATATGTTTAACAAAATCCTCCCCTCCCTCTTAATTAACATTTTTTAATAATTATGATTGGTTAAAAATCATGAAATCATGTAATTGCTTAAATTTATTTAAATTAGCCAATTAGAAGCCTTCTAAGTCTAATTTCTTGTTAAAATATATTATCAATTAGTAGTTTGGAATGGCCTATATTATTCTAGATTTTGAAATAAATGAAGTAAATTCAATTTTAATATCTATTATTATTAAAATTTAACAGACAATATGGTTTATTATATAATTTATTTTGTTAATTGTGATTTGTGATTAAATTTATCTTTTTTTAAAGGCTTAACTAGTTTAATAATTTAAATTATGATACTTTGTCAAAAAATAAAATAAATATAATTTATCTTAATTTATTAAAGAATATGACAAATTAAATAAATATATATATATACTAATATATATATTTATAATTTTAAACAATTTATTAATACTGAAAAATAATATTTTTTAAATATTATATTACATTTTAAAAAAAAAAAACATTTTACTAAAAAATATAAAATATTATAATCATATATTTTAAAATATTTTCTGAAAGAAAATAATTATTCAGTTTATTTTAAAACAAGCATTGGATCTGTTTTTGATTAGTATAAAACTAAAAAACTGGTATAACTTAACCTTATAAAAATTTATAAAAATTATTATTTTATAATATTAATAAATTATTTTAAAATATTTTTATAACAAAAAATTAATGTTTTTATATTTTATTATATAAAATATTTTAACATCCAAAGTACTCAACTTATACTTTAAAAATATATAAACAAATCATAATATTTGTTTATATTTTACATTAAAAATTATTTTTTAAAATATGTAATTTTCATAAAAAATATATTAAAAATTAAAAATTTATATAAAAACATAAAATTTATATATATTTGACTATAATAATTATAATAATTATAGTACTTGATTTTTATCTTATTAGTTATATATTTATTATAAAATAGTTTGTAATTTTTTATATCAAAAAAAAAACAGATTAAAAGTACTATTTATTTATTATTTACAAATTTATATCTTTATATAAATTTAATATTTCAAACTGATTAAGCAGAAATTGCTAAGAACCTATGCAATTATACATTTAAAATTTTCTATTTTTATACAAACTTGATATTATAAATATAAATAATAATCCAGTAATTGTCAAAAAACTCATTCAAATATTACATATAAATTTTATATTTTTATACAAGTATTATAGGTATAAATAACAAACATATTGAATTTTGCAAATTTTATTTTAAACTGGCTATATAATAGCAAAAAATATTAATAATTTGATAATTAATTATAATATATATATAATCTTTTAATCTTTATTATTTATAAAATATATAAATTTTATTATTTATATTATTTTTGATATTACAATCTCATTTATATAGATTTTTGACCATTTCAATTTCAATGTCAATGTTAATATTATATTAATATATACTGTATTTTTTTTTTAAGATTATAATTTTAATTTACTATATATATTTTTTTTAAAGATTATATTCTTCAAGTCTTGTACTTAAAAAGTGATACTTCACCACTTTTAATCGGGTATTTTCTTTGGGTCCAATCCAATACTTTTCATCTTTAATGCAATTTCAAACAAATAATCATAACATTCTGTCATAGTCTTTGCTTTTTCCCAAGATTCTTATTAAAAAAGATTGATCAATTATGTTAGTTTATGAAGGAATTTATGAAATATTTTATCTAATTATCTAAATAATTAATTACCTCCCCATACATAAACACCATGACGTCTTACGAGAACAGCATTAGTTTCAGGATATTTTTCCATAGCCTTTGATCCAAATAATTATTTTAATCAATATTTCACGAAAAGAGAAAAAGTATAATCGGTTCTTAAATTTTTATGCTTTACCTTTGCCATTCTATCAGTTAAATCTACTTCTTCCGGAGTATTCTCAACAATTGGTACTATGCACATGTCATTATATTTTAAATTTTCTTTTGTGCTTCCTCGTCTAATCCCTTTAATCATTTCTTGATGTGTAATAATAAATTCATCTCCAGGATAAACTAAAGTTACCATTAGAGCATTTTGTGAATGAGTATGAACACATGCACCAGCATTACGCATTGTGTACGCGTTATAAAATAATGGTGTACAAGCTGATGGTCGATAAACCGGAGGTGCGCGTAAGATTTTACGTGTTGAAAGATGCAATACAAACATATCTTGTGGTTTCATACGTTCTTTTGAAACTCCTAATATTTAAAGAAAGGTTGAATTCAAAATAATTAAAATAATCGAATGAAAAAGATATAATTAATATTAGATAACAAATTACCTGATGGAGCAATATATACCAATTCACTATAAAAAATTCATTTAAATAAAGTAAGTATTTCCAAAATTTTATCAGTTAAATGATATTTATTTACTTACTCTTTTCGAATAGAAATTCCACCTCTAAGTATTATAATGAAAATAAAATTACTATTTTTAACCCTTGTTTAATTATAATAATATTGTCTTATTGTCTTACCCAGTCCCAGTAACCCAACCTAAATGATAAAATAATTTACATAATTCAGGGATAAGAATTGCGGGGTGTAATGGATCATTCGAAAGAATTAAATCATCTGGATTTTTGGAGTCATTTTCTGAATTGGAATTTAAAGTTATATCCATTTTTTTTTGTCCAATTATGTTAATTATTCTTACATAAAAAATTTTTTTTTTTTTTTGTTTTTGTTTTTGAAATATAGAAAAAAATTTTTATCGATGAATTTTCATCAAAGTTCAAAAAAAAAAAGGTGGCGGTTACACCATTCCCGATTAAAATTTGCGTAGATATTTAAAAAGATCTTGTGGCACGGGAATTTCATTTATTATGTGTAACAAACGTAAAAAATTTTTTGAGATCAAAAAATCAAAAGATTGATTTTTAGTAAACAAAATTATTAAGATCATTTAGATTTTCTTAAATTTTATGTTATTTATGTTACAATAATTATATAAAAGGATGAAACTTTTAATGATTGAGAAGAATCAAATATTAAAATATTATTGTAATAAAAAATGATATCAACTCAATTTCGTCATTCCTCATCCATTATTCGTCCTTTTATCAATTACACTTTGCATCATCCTTCAAATTTATTTCCTATAACTTCATCTTTTCTTAAATCAAACAAATTTTCAACAACTTCCCATACGAGAAGTGATATTAATGTAGCACCAGCACCACCAGGAATACCTCATTATCTAACACATGCTGACTTATCTGCGAAAGAAATTTATAATTTATTAACTTTAGCTATACAACATAAATATAATGTAAAATATTTAAATAAAAGTTCAGGGGCACCTCTAGCCGGTAAAACTTTAGCCGTTATGTTTTCAAAGAGAAGTACCAGAACCAGGGTTGCTACTGAAAGTGCAGTTGCATATCTTGGTAAGATCCGAATTTTTCAATTTTACATAATTCTGGCCAAAATATCGTTGTATATCACGTGATGGCTAATCAGTTCATGCAAATTCAAATTCATTGTTCTTCCTTTAGGTGGACAGCCAATGTTCTTGGGATCACAAGATATTCAGTTGGGAGTAAATGAATCGTTATTAGATACGGCAAAAGTGGTCTCAAGTATGGTAGATGGTATAATGGCTCGTGTTGGGTCACATTCTGATATTGAGGTATGCATTATATTCAATTGCGTACGTGTAAAAGTTAATATTTATAATCTTATATATATATATTTTTTTTAAGACATTGGCAAAATATTCAACAGTACCTGTAATAAATGCTCTCTCTGCTAAATATCATCCAACACAAATTTTAGCTGATTTAATGACTTTACACGAAATATATGGACCCCAACCATCATCATCATCATCATATGTAGCTCATCAAACTCATCCAAGCAAAACACTTCCAGGGCTACGTGTAGCATGGGTTGGTGATGGTAATAATATATTACACAGCATGATGGCCACATTTCCTAAATTAGGTGTACATTTGAATGTTGCTACACCGAGAGGATATGAACCTGACGAAGAAATAGTTAGATATGCACAAACAGAAGCTGGAAAAACCAACACTGATTTAAATTTTAGTTTTGATCCAAAGGATGCCATTAAGAATGCTGATGTCATTGTTACTGATACTTGGTATATTAGATTGATTATAAAAATATGAAGCATGAAAATTGGAGTAAAAAGTCTAATAAATTTCTATTTCTTTATTAATAGGATCAGTATGGGACAAGAAGAAGAAAAAGCTCAACGTATAAAAGATTTTGCTGGATATCGAGTCACATCTCAAATGGCAAAAGAAGGTGGTGCAAAATCTGATTGGAAATTTTTACATTGCTTACCTAGGAAACAGGAAGAAGTTAGTGATGAGGTAAATGGTTGACAATTTTTTTAATATAAATTCTTATTCAATTTTTTTTTAATTTAATTGTGTTTCTTTTTTTTTTTAGGTATTTTATTCCCCAAGATCTTTTGTATTCCAAGAAGCCGAAAATCGCAAATGGACTATTTTAGCCGTTATTGATGCACTAATGGTTAAAAAGAGTTTTGATTAAACTCTGTTTATTTTATAATTTTATAAAATTTTCATTGTTTTGATAATCACTTTTATTCTTTTGTAATAAGAATTATAAAAAAAAAAAAAACTCTAGTCACCCAGCAACATAAAATCCAAACAATATACCATAATAGAAAAAAAAAATATTTGTCTAAAGCAATAAATTTGGTCAACTGTTTAACTAATACAAGATAATGAAATAAAATAGGAAATTTCAAAAATAATGACCTTTCTACTATTTATATAAAAAAAAAAAAAAATAATAGGATTGATGAATTTAAAAATGACATTTGAATAAAAATACAAGAAAAATAAATGGATAAATTAAATTATGAAATTAAATGTGATCAATTTTTCTTGCCAAAAATTTTGCTGCCTTTTGAGACACTATATAAATAAAAAAAAAATATAATTTATTTAATATAATTATTATTTGTAATATAAATAACATTAATTACAAACTTAAATTCGAACAAAATAATTACCTAGTGCTCCGACTTGCATTATACAATTCTTGGAATTCACGTTCTTCAGCTGCAAGTGCCAAACGTTGCTCTTCTAATTCTGCCATAAGTTGTTGTCTGCGTTGATTAAGCTATATTTACAAATAATAATGCGTTTAGTAAAAAAGAAGCCTCGTAAACAACTACATATTGGCTACCAGAAAAAAATACATTACCTGTTCTTCTCTTTCTCTTAAGCTTGCTTCTTTCTCTCTAACCTTCAACACAAAGTTTTGTCTCATTTCTTCTTCCTTTTTGATCATATCTTCGGCCATATTTTGTTTGCTTCTTTCAATTCTGTGCTCATAAGAATCATCACAAGCAAGAATGGATTCTGGACGACCACTTGAACGAAGTCTTTGAGCTCGAAAATTGTGGTAATGAACGGTATGACTTGTCTCAAGAAGATCGTGAAGCGCATGTGTCATAAGAAGTTCACGAAGATGAATGAAATCACAATGTTGTTCGTTTTCAACTTCAACTACACCCCATCGATATAATCGTCCTCGTACTTTTTTACCTTCTACTTCCACAAATGTGTCACTGCCAATAACAGTGAATGGAATATATTTCTGTTGTAATATAAAAAAGATTAATATTTTACAAAATTTTTATTATAATAATAATAATAATTAGTCATACCTCAAGTTCCTCAACACTCTCCCGATCATCTGGATAAGCTGTGGGGAAAGTTCTGATATTATTAAAATCGATATCTCTTAATATCTAATCATAATAATATTTATTATATAAAGGTTATAAATTAGTCTATCTTTGAAACAAATAAAACATGAAATTGAATAAAATGAATAACATACAGTTTTCTTAAATGCCGATTTTTCTTCATGTGTAAGTGTATCAGCTTTTGCAATAACGGGAATTACATTAACTTTAGTAGATAAAACTTGGAGGGCTTTGATATCAAGTTCTTTAAGACTTTTTTAATTTAAGTTTAAATTAGTAAATCATTATTTATATATATATATATATATATTTTTTGTGATAATAATTAAGAATCATTACATACGCATGACCAGTTGGTGGAATAAAATACAATAGAGCATGTATACGAGTATCTGGAATTGCACGTCTAAATTCGGAACTGCGCTCAGCCGTGTGGTAAGCTTCGAATTGATTATCAATATATTCAACAATCGGATTGAGACTTGTTGGAAAAAAAAAAAATGTGAATATATAGTGGAGGATATTGACGAACTTCATTTATTAAAACTAAGATTAACGTACTTGTGTTCACGGTTAAGTTGGTCACCGAATCCGGGCGTGTCAACGACAGTTAGGTTAAGAGTTACACCATTTTCAACCAATTCTATAATATTATATAATTTTAAATATTGAACTTGTAAAAGGTCAACAAGTTAAATTTATTCCGAAAGGGAATAACCAACCATAATGTACGGGAACAATTTCAACTGTCTGTGTGGCTTGTGGATTTTTCGGGAGGATTTCCTCTTTGAGGGGTGTATTGAACAAAGTATTCATAAAAGTGGTTTTTCCGAGTCCACTCTCGCCTTATGTATTTAATAATTCGCGCAACAAGAATGAATTTCGTCAATTTCTTTCAGTTTATGAAAAAATGTATAAATTTATTCAAATAATATTGATAAAAAGATTGAAATTAAGATTATAAAATTCTATTTATGCTTACCAACAACCATAATATTAAGTACATAAGGTGTTCTTTTAGTTTTATTAAAACGTTGTCGTGGTAAAGCGTCAATTCCTAGATTATCTCTAAGGATAACTGCGCGAGTTTGAGGAATCTTCCATGGTCCAGGATCTGGGAAAAGTCCTCTGATTATAAAAAAAGTGAATTTACATACATTAATTATATTTGTTTTTATAAATTTGATCGAATAAACTTTTTCAATAACAGTCATCGTAATTTTCAACTACTATATTAATTAATACTGATTTAAAAAAAAAAAAAAAAAAACATTTCGAGGTCATCTCTGTCTCTATTAGAGATTATTATTTACCTGTGTTGAAGAGCGTATTCCTAAAGAAAATAAAAAAGTCGATTACGAATGATAAAAAGAAAACCATTTAATATAACTTGGTACTAAGTAAAAGTTCGAAAAGATTATAAAATTTTTTTTACGTACCAAAGGCATATTTTATAGGTAGTATAGTGATAAAAGGAGCGACTTATTTTTTTGCAAAGATAATTAAAAGAGATTGAACAGAGTTGGACTTTTGTCGCAGGGAAAATTTTTTTTTGTACGTTCGGATTAAAAAAGTCTTTGGTTTTATAAAACCCCAAGATTATAATTTTCTCTTTTTTTTCTTACCAGTCAAAAAGGCGGGCTAGAAATTACATATCGACGAAATGTGACAATATACCCTAAATGCTACTACCACCAAAACTATCAAATTGATTGGACCCTTGTTGCAAAGTAACATCTTTAGTAGTAATTAGTATGGTTTTTTTCTTAATGAAAAAATACCATTCCTTTCCCAGTGCTCCCATTTGAGTTTTGTTTGGTATTTGTACAAATGTGATCACCTAGTGCATAATGTAATGCTTAGTGTGTCAAACGTTGCATACTCAATTCCTAAAGCAGTGGCAATTAAAAAAAAATTGAACGAATAAAACAAAGTTTAATTGTACCGCATGTAATATTGATAAATTTTGAGTTACAACAATGGTTAAAAAAGTTTTTAATTGTGTTCTTTAATTTTGAATTTTTGTCTTTTAGATCGATCTTCTCGGTTTACACCTCTTTCTTTTACATAAGGAATAAACATCATATTTGAAGGTAATTCATCTTTATGTTTTATAAACCATTCTGCAACAGGATGACCTTTTCTTTGATCAGATTCTTCTTCTTGAGTAAAAAAATCGATAGCATCTTTAACTGTATTAATTTTGTTAAGTTCAAAATTTGGTATTTTCTTTCCTATTATCATTGTACAATCTCTTAAAACCTATCAAAAATATATATATAAATATTATGTAATAATGGTAAATTCGTATTAGTTTTTTTTAAATTAACATACCTCAAATTTAAGTTTCGAATCCTTTAATTCAAATTGCATCAAATCTCCTTTTGATGATTCAATATACTTTTGTAAAATTACAAAAATATTTTCCTTGATTTCATTAGGATCCGTAATTTTTTTAGGGCTAGAAAAATATAAGTATTTTAATTTTACAATCAAATATGAAAAAATATATATATATTATATAATAAATATAATGTATGATAATAATTATTATCAATTTTTAAATTTCAATACGAAACCTCTTAGTATAATCATCATCATCTTTAAGAATTGATTTAAATTCATCTATAACTACATGTTCTGAATTATCATCATTTAATTGTTCCTCTTCTTCTTTAACTTTTTCGCTTCCAAATGGTGTACTTTTAAAAAAACTATTAGATACAGTAGAACTTTGAGTAAATGAAGCAACTAAAATATGGTTTGGCGGTTTTCTAACTTGACATACATGAAATATTGTTTTGTTATGCGATAATCTAATAAAAAAAGATAATTTTGTTGAAGATAACCGTATCATATTAAAAAAAGAAAATTGAGAAAAAAAAGGTATATATATTTGATTTGCATATTTATTATAGGTCTTAGACGGTCTAGACCCAGATGATCGATGATCACGATTATCGATCTCTAAAAAAAAAAGAAAAGAATAAAAAGAATTTCTGAATTTCTCTCAGAATTTCTCTCTAGAATTCGCAGAACTTCCATTATTCACATCATTCAAACCCCATTCCCTTCCATTTCATTGATATTTGACTAAAGATATGGTTTTTTATAACTTTCTTTATAATACTCGGGTATTATCAAGTTAGAATAGAAATTATACGATAGTTAAAATTCATATTAAATTTACAAAAAAGAATTCACTTGTCATTCACGTCATTATTTACTATCATTTTGGTCTTTAATTCGAATAGAAGAAATATATATTTCTTGAAATATGGCGAATGACTACAATGGACAATAATAGAATCGAGCACATTTCACCTACAAGAATAATTAGCAATTACATTCTGAAAACATAAATATACCTTCAACCTATTATACTATGCTTGGTTACAATTTTACATAATAATGCTCTAAGCAGAGCCAATAGTTGGGTTAAACTGCTTTTTTTGCAAACACAAGCCGTAAGATAATATTCTCGTAAAAATAAAACTGTAAATTATTATTCAGCAAATGCTTTGAAGTAATAGATAAACTGGACAATTTATACAATTTCTGAATAAAGTGGTTTGAATTTTATCTGGAGATTTAGATAAAACTTGTCAAAATTTGAAGTATTGCTAAGCAGAGTTATACATACTCTTGTAAAAAAGATAGTCCATTGCTTGTAGGTGATTCTTCAGAGTTGCTTCCGTATTATGGAAATTATTCTTGTTCTCGGTGGTGTTTACCCATCGGGTTTACTCCTTTTTCAGTTATATAGACCCTAAAATGTCTATCATATTCAAAACAAATATATCTGAACGCGAAAGAAATTTTTGGAGAGAAAACATAATTTATTCAGTCCTATAAGTAAGCATAGGATTGAATGATTTAGTAAACATTAATTAGACGATTAAGCATTAATTAAACGACCATCAAGTAAATTAAGGTAATGGTTTATTATTATTTGAAAATTGCGATGTATACAAAATTAAAGTATATTACAAATTAAAGTGATTTAAAATTTTCTCCAATTCATCCATTACCTTTATTCCTAGATATATATAATGAACTCTACTGTGTACAGTATAGCGAACGCAAAAAAAAAGAAATGTGATGGTAATCGGCTTGAACATGATTAATTGCCCAGAGCGAAGCGAAGGACTGTATATGTTTATGAACGTTAATCACATATTGGATCATGTGGCGAAGTCCGTTTGTCCGCTGTTACATCGATAAACAAAAAAAAAGATATAAACGAGAAATAAAATTTATGATACGTAGATAATGGCGATAAATAGATGGTACAAACTACAAAATTTTATCTTGTAGAAGATTAATAATGGTATGTATTATTATTAATCTTTGAATATTATTTTTTTATTCAAATTTGTATTTATTTATCTTTTTTTTTCTATCAATTCTAATGTGCAGTATCAACCGATATACAAGAAACTTCAATATTATTTAATTATGTGAACATCTTCATTGTCATTTATTGAATAAATTGATATATTTAGATTTCCATGGTCATCACTGAAAGTCATGTAACCCTTGTAACGTTTGGTTGCATATTCTTTATTTTATTTGAATTTGAAAAAAAAACATTGGTTACCCGAAAGAGTGACCTAAATCATTAGGACAAACTGTATGATTTTTGAATGATAAATAATAAATTTCTGAACAATAAATATTTTAAGACGGATATTATAGAAATTGATCTAAATCCGCAAAATAATAATAATTAAAAGAAATTAAAATTTTATAAATTTTATTCTATATTCTCTTTTCATCTAAAAATTGAATATGAATACAAGAATATAAGAAGAAGAGGTACAAAATAAGTAGACAGAGTACGTCGTTGTATGCAACTTAATTTTCGAGAATTTTTCGAGTACCTATTTTTCTATAAATGAATATTCAAAGAAAAATTATTGGGATAGTAGTAGAGGATATTGGATGCTTAAACTATGACAAAAGTTGCGGGCTCCAGTGATTGCCAGCTGGAGGAGTTCAGCAAATGTAGTTAGCGATTTGGAAGATGATAAATGTAAGATTGTTATTTTTTATCATATAATAAAAGTTCAACAAATGTAAGAAAGAACAAGGAAGCGATTTTGGAGATGATAAATGTAAGATTCTTATTACTTGATCATATAATAAAAGTTCAGCAAATGTAAGAACAAGTTAGCGATTTTGGAGATGATAAATGTAAGATTGTTATTACTTGATCATATAATAACTGTTCAGCAAATTTAGGAAAGAACAAGTTAGCTGTTACTTGATCATGACTTGAACTAACAACAAAAGGATATGAAATATTTTTCAATACTCTCAACAAAAAAATAACTTTGGAAATAATAAATGTTGTTAAGAAATAAGAATCGATAATTTTTACCTCCACATCGAATACATGGCATGCAACTGAAAGCAATCAAAAAAAAAAAATATTTTTTATAGGAACAAAACGTATAGTTCCAAGAACGATTTTACATACATCCAAACAAATGTTCGAACTTGAACTAGAATTCTAGAAATTTGAAATTGCGAAAAGAAGCATTAAAACAGCTAGCATCTGCTACACATTTTATATGAATTATTCTGACGGGATTAATAGAGATTTGAGTATATAAACTTGGATAATTAAGTTGGATATCGGAGATTTGGATATATATTATCAGAGACTTAATACCGTAATATAAACTAGAATATATTATCAGAGACTTATAGACTTGGATACATTAAACTAACAATATAAGTAAGTTTTTATGTTGATATGAAAATAACAAGAACAGTTCATATGAAGCATTATAATAATCAAACCAATCTTTTAATATAATCAAGAGATTGTGTTTTTAAAATAATATTATAGATGTATAGAGATTTCTTAATATTTGGATATATAAATAGCGATAAAAAAAAAGGGATATATAATTCCAATTAAAGGAACTCATAAATCCGGACAGAAAATCAATGATCGGAGAAAATGAAAAGCATTTGAATACTATATTATCGGAAGATCGATTAATTATCACGAGTTTTAAATAGATTTCATATGATACCTTCACCAGGTTTGTGGGTATACTAGAACTTACCTTCCGATACCCTGGCATAAGGGACGTTATTTTTTTAAACAAAAAGTGTCACTCCAAGGTTATTGCATGGAGGAAACACGGTGTAACGATTATTGCGTGGAATAACGGAATAACGATTATTATGTGGATTGTGGAGTAACGATTATTTGCGTGGAAGTAGCGTGGAAGTAGCGTGGAAGTAGCGTGGAAGTAACGTGGAAGTAGCGTTGAAAGTAACGTGGAAGTAACGTGTAATTTAAATTTACATAATTTACATGATAATCTATCGGTAAATTTAATGAAACAATCAAAATAGGATATTCCAGATCGAGCAAGTTAAAATTTAACCAAAGAAAGAAAAAAAGGTTCTCCAGGATAATTCGAAAATCACAAGTATATTTGAAAATCACACGTATATCTTAATAACACGATTCATACAATAAAAAAAAAAAAAAAAAA